ACAAATGTACTTGATCACATTCATATTATATTTGATGATATTCATGGTTTTGCATTAATTGATGAATTCTTTTGATTGTCTGTAATTTATTAATTAATGGCTCCCTTGAGTTAATACTGTCATTAACAGAGTGAGATGTTAATTGATAGAGTATAACTCTTAAATTACCTCAATCGATGATCATTAAGAAAAGAGATATTAATGATACGTGATAGATTGACATGTGGTCTGCATCACATTCTTTGAGAATATAGTATGTCTCACTACTATGAATAATTGTTATTCGTGATGGACACATGGATACTTTAGAGAGTATTGGTATACCCTACCGATAAACCATTTGTTTATGTGTCTATGGGAGTATCAGTGTGTGGAATGGTGTAATAGTCCTTTGACTTGAGGTCAATACGCAATTCATATATAGAGTGATTTACTTAGACCTAGTCCAAAGCTTACGCCCTTATGGGTAGATACGGGCTTGTGTTGAGTAGGTCACGATATACATGGAATTGGTAGTTGAGCCAAGATAGGATTCATTCCTCGAATATAGTTTCGAGAGAACACTCGTTTTCTCTATACTGGATTGATAAAGTCATTGGCCAATGCACGTGATTATATTTGAAATAGTGTTCGAGTATAATTGATAAAATCAACCAGTGAGATGAGATAAAATGATTAAGCTGTTTAGATAGACACACGTTCAAATCCTAACTTAATCGAGTGGTTCGTGAATGAAGGGACCGTATCACTATTGAATTCTACACCAAAGGTTTGTTTGCTTTGTCTATGTAAACGTACTTCATATTTTGAGTTCGTCCTTCGACGCAATCTAGGAGTTTCGTAAGGATCATAAATTAGATTTATGTCAATATATGAAGGTCTATAGGGTCACACAATATGCAATCTATTTTCCGGCTAAGAGTGAATCGAGAGTGTTAAATATTCAATTAGATTGGAATATTTAATTTTAATAATGAGATTATTTTCTATTAGATAGAAAATATATAATTAAGTTTAATTGGACTTAGACTTAATTATATCATTAATTGGATTAGGTCCAATTTCCTATTGGGCTATAGGTTATCTTAAAGCCCATATAATTAGGTTTAACCTAATTATTAATAGGCGGTTATCTCATATCAGATGATTAGATCAGATAATTGTGATACGCCGTAAAAACACAAAAACTCTCTTTGCTTTCTGACTGAGGATTCCTAGCGTCTTCACCGGAAAGGATTCACTGTGTTGGATCGTGCACCGGGATCTGGATTGCGTGGATACCATAGTTGAAGGCAAAGCTTAAACTGTAAGTTCTCGCAGATCTATGATCAAGTTGAATAGCTATAGCCGGATCTTCATTGTTGGTAAGAAAAATTTTTAAAATTTCGCTGCGTGTGCGATTGATTTGTACGACTGAAATCCAACAATAAAATCTTTGCAAATAAGTTAATTAGATGATTTAACGGTCTATTATCTGGATGAGGTTCAATTCGTTAATTTAACATCAATCATAGGTCAAAATAGATACTTAATATGAATTTCAAGAGTTTTTTTGTAGATCGAATAGGTTTTGAGATACTTATTACCAAGATGTTGGCACACGCCGAATAGGCTTGAGCACGGAACTCGAAGAATACCGAAACGACCCAAAAATTTAATTGAAATCACATGGCCTCGAATCAAAAAATAATAGTTGAACATTTGACTTTCTACGAACAGAAACAAACCGAACAAAACAGTTACTATGATTCTAAAGACCTCATAAATTCCGTAGTGAGTAAAGAAGCAAACTGTCTCATACTGTATGAACCGAACTATAACTGTAAGTGTGTCTTATCCTTTGCTTTTATGTTAATTTTTTTCTTACATTATATGAATATTTTCATAATACTTATGTAGTAGTAGCAATTAAACTTCACGCAAGTTTAATATTTTAAAATTTTAATTATATTACATTTTGTGTTATTCTTCTAACTTTTTATTTTAGCTTATAAGTAAAGTAATGAGAAAAAGTAGGAGAAAATATATTTCGAAATAATATATATATATATATATATATATATATATTGTTCGGAGTTTAGTTTTAATTATTTGGTTTAAAAAATAAATATAATCTTAATTAAAATCGTAATGTAGTTTTATTTTTCTAATTTATCCGCCCTATATATTAAATCAAAACATGCTGAGCCTAAGTGGTGGACTCGCACTCTTTGGAATCATATGTGTCAAATTATTATGCTTCGTATTTAGGTTCAGATAAAAAAATTGGAAACATAATCAGCTTAGAATCAATCATAAATAATTCTTTCACCTTACATTATTGCATCCTATAAATATCCCTTTCATTACCATATATT